TACCCCCGTCCATCAGTTCCGTAGCCCCATCACATTCCAGCTTTGGAATATGATTTTCTATTTTTTGCATAAAGTATCAATTTTCTCTGTATCAGGTGTGCATGAGATCAGTATTTAAGCTCCCCCATCATGTGACCCAGACAGATCCAAAATCCATCTGCTGGAAAACCAGTGAAGTTTCTTGCTCTTCTTATGCTTTATGTTTTTAAGCTGAACATGTTATCAGAACTACCTTGTGATAAGTAGTAAACCAAGCCCAGCAGTGAGGCTGTTTCAAATTGAGAAGTACTGCAACTGGAATAACAGGAAATCTGAGGCTGCTAAAATTAGTTTGTGCAAATAATAATTTCTCATGCAAAACAGGCTTTGTTAAAAACTCCACTGGTGCAGCCTCTGCAATCTGGCTGTCATTAACAAGCAGTATTAGAGACTGGCACTGAAACAAAGGTATTTTTTCCTAAGACATCCTTCACCTTGCACATCACAGAAACAAATATTTGTCTAGAAAGTCAGTACCACAGAAACAGTTTGTTCTTCCAGTGTCATAAACTGCAGGCTCTCATGTGAAACTGAGCTTGTGTCTGGAGGCACTGAAACCACCTGCAGTAATAATAGCTCAAAGCATCTTTAATTTATGCCTGGCTTCTGTGTTAGATTCCCTTGAGTTTCCATCTTCTTAAATGACAACAGTTTGTTCAGAGTGGCTGTGAGGATCTGTGGGAGAGGTGAGGAGGTGATGGAGGATGATGTGCTTGGATTGCCCCATGCATAAATAAGTCTCTGACTGTTTTGGGCATGTGCAAGTAGCTCCAACTGTGCTGGCTGTGGAGCTAGAAATGGTATCTCCAGATGGGTATGGTGTTATATTGGAATTAATAACTCCTGCTCAGGTCAGGATTAACCACCACCATTTGCACCAGGATGGCTATGCTGCTGATGCGTATGGCCCCATGCCGCACTATGAGTATGTTGGCTCTCCTACCTCCAGTGTCCTGAGACAGCAAACCTAGATGTTAAACCTGCGCCCATCACTGGTGGTATCAGACACCCCAGCAGGGCTACTTCCTTCTAGATTAGGGAAGGATCCCTCTTCCTCTCTATCTTTACTGTACCCTTGACTTCCACTTTCTTATGAGGCCATGTCTGCAGTTTCTATTCCTGGAAGCAAGGATGAGATCCAGTTCAAGATTAGAGCACATGGGATGCTGGCTGGGATTCTAAGCTCCCATTGCATTCAACAGAGATGGAATCAGTGGAGACTGGAAAGTGATGCAAATGTACCATAAAGCAGATGGAACCATGCTGTGAAGGCAGGGGTCTGAGTATGGAGCAGGATGTGATCCAGTAGCCTCAGCATGGTCATCTGATGCTAATCGACACAGTCCACAGTCTCCCACTTGGCCTCCATCTGCCACTCCAGAAGGAAGGTCTCTGCAATGGGTTACACTTGCCAAACCCATGTGGCTGTCCCGAACACCCCAGTGTGGCACTAAACATGTAATTCTTGGTAACTGAATGGCATTTGCCGGTGAAATGACTGCTTGCATTGACCCAGGCTGGGTTGAGGTGCCCGCATGTAGAGCCCAGTGCCACTGGAAAAGCTGCTGAATGCACAGGACCCCTGTTCCCAGCTGGCAGATATGATATGGGGCTATGCAGGGCTGGACTGCATTGGCCACAGCTTGAGAGCAGGTAGGACACTGTATGTGACTGAAACAGCACTAAGTACCTACATTAGGGTAACCAAAGTGAGCCTTAAGTGCCATTGACTGTTAGAGGAACTGAAGGACGTAGCTCACATGCAGAAATGTTTAGGGAGGTAGTTTGATCTCAGACACAATCCCACCCAAGGAGTAAAAGTCTGGCAAACACATTACCACGTTCCTTGTACAGCAACACATTATTGCCATTCATTTTGAGTGCACATAATACAAATCAAGTCCTTATTACATGAAGCACAGAAACCCTGAAAACCTTTCCTTGTCTTGCAAACAGGAATTCATAGGGACTCATTCTTATTAAACTGCATTAAGCCTTTGGGGTTGGGAATTCCCTGTACAAAATGGGGAATTTAGATTTGAGGAATTGAATTTAGATTTAAGGAGTGAGCATATGCCTTGCTTGACAACCCCAGCACACACTGACTTGGAAAACAGAGAAGGAAAAGACTGAGCTGAACCATGCAGTATGATGAGATTGAAGCCATCCACTGATCAAAGATGTGTTCATAAACTGAGTGTGGAGGACATATTACTTACCACTGTCTCACCCATATTCCTCAGCAAGACACATAAAAGCAACAAATCAAGTAACAAGAAGTCTGCCAGCAAAAAAGACCTTTGTGGCATGAGCCGTGGTTGAATGGGACTGAAAGCTTGGAAGAAAGCAAGGCCAAGTTTATCTCCAGGCAACCAGGATGCAACAGTTCACAGCCCTCCTGCGGGCTGCCAGATGGAGGCAGTTTTTCATGTTGATATTTGACAATAAATGGAACCTAGGCAGCAGTTGAGCCTGGAAGTGAGGCAGCATACTGCTCTCTTCCACCTGCATCCTTCTTCCTCACACTCTCTGAAGCTGGTACTCAGCAAAGTACTACAAAAGCAACACAAATGACTCTATCTGACTGTCCTGCCATGGCTTACAAGAACCAAAAAGTCAAAACCCCAAACCTTTGGCCTTCCATGCTCAGGTCTGCTTGTGGGAAATGGTAAGTTTGGGTTAGCACACACCATCCTACAGAAGAGAACTCAGGAATGTTGTGTGAAGCAGCCTCTGAGGTATTGTGGCATTCCTACTGTCTTCCTCCCAGCTGTAGCATGTCCCGCTGGGCTTTGCCGTAAAGTCAGAATCAGCACTGTTGATTTTTGCTTTATTTAGCAAAAGCTTTTTGCACCCTACTCTTCATGGCTGCTCCAAGATAAATTCATCCCCTTGCAAAGTTTTGTACTCAACGAGTGTCCTGGGTTCAGCAGTAGCAGTCATTTTTACCCTTCTTGGTAGCTGATGCAGTGCTGTGTTTTGACTTTCGGCCTGGGAACAGAGCTGATAGCGATGTTTTGGTTTGGCCAAGGACTTTGTGAGCCTCATGCTCTGCCAGGGAGGAGGGGAAGCCAGGAGGAAGCAGAGACAGGACACCTGACCCAAACTGACCAAAGAGGTATTCCATACCACAGCACGTCATGCCCGGGATGTAACTGGGAGTTAGCCGGAAGGGCTGGGAGACTGCAGGGTTGGAGGAGGTATCGGTCAGTGCTTGGTCGGGGCTGGGGGGGCGAGTTATTGGTCGGCTGGTGGTGAGATGTCGTATTCTCTTCCCTTGTTATTTCCTTTATCATTGTTATTACTGGTGGTAGCAGCAGTGATTTGTGTTATACCTTAGTTACTAAACTGTTCTTATCTCGACCCGTGGGAGTTGCATTCTTTTTGATTCTCCTCTCCGTCCCTCTGGTAGTAGGGGGAGGGAAAGAAGGGGGGGAGTGAGTGAACGAGTTACCTGACTGGGTTTAAACCACGACAACGAGTTTTCAAATATTCATGTAGGTTGGAAAGCCACTCATAAGGCTGATGTTTTTAGGCAGGACTTGGCTTTAAATACACAAACATACATGCAAATAAACGAAGCGTTCCTTTACTATCTTAATATATATATAAAAGCTACTTTGGGTAGCATATAACTTATGATCAAGACTAAATGAAAGTGTAAAGAATAAACATTGCACAGAGTGGATAATAGAGCAATGAAGTTTGTCCTAGCAAAAATAGTTCTACCACACCATCGAAAAGCTATTCATGTTCACAAGCCACTAAATGTTTGCATAAGGAGAAAGGGAACAAAGTAGGAATGCTTTAATGCTGTGCCTCACTGGAGCTGCTTTTTCCTCCAGTCTTGTGTAACTGTGACAGTTGTGTAAAAGGGAAAAACAGAAAAAAAGGGAAAGCACTGGTAACGCTGGCATGAAAAGACATTTGTTTCTGTGGCAGTCAACAGCTACACAGCAGCTCTGTGCTCTCTTGTACAAAAGGAACAGGCTTCTTGTGCACTACGCAGTCAAAAGCCTGACCTCCTCTCAAAGACCCACATGAACAGGTCCTCCTTCAAAGTCTGCTAGGCTATGTAGATGCAACCTATGCAACTGTTATTTGAATGATATGCATGGACTCACAGACCCAACAGCACAGACTACCCCATCCAGACAGGTTCACAGTCAGCAAGTTCTGCATTTCCTTCTCAACCCAAATACTAGCAGTGATTTCATATATTCATGCATATATTTCATATATTCATGCATACAGAGCTGGATTCAGATCATGGTGCCCAGAAATGTTATGGGCACCCTTCTCTGAACAGTACTAATGACCCTTGGTACCAGGGTATCCCTGTTACCACAATAGCCAGGACACATCTCCAGTCCTTCCAAGTTGTTGCTGGTGCAGGAGGTGGCTTACCTGCTTTCACGGCTTAAGTACTGAAGGCTGCCCTTTTCATGGGTATGAGTCTGGTCTTTGAAGGATTTCAAGACCCAACTGGATAAAGCCCTAGAGACAACCTGGTCTGACTTCAAGGCCAGGACTTCCTGAGGTTCCGTTCAATCTGAATTACCCTATTAACCCATTCTGAAGAAGGGTGGCAGGTACTGCATGAGGACAGGCACTAAAATCTCCATAAACACGAGTAGCGAGATCTATCCACCACTCTGGAAAATGCACAGAAGTCCTGGTCCTGTATCTTTCTCAAGCAACCAGTCCCCACTTCTGTAAGCAGCAAATAGCCCCATTAGAGGAGCAAGGCCATACTATTGCACATGGTTTAGTTCAGCTTTTGAAGGGTCCCGGCCATTTCCTACCACTTCTGTCCGAATTTCAGCCTTTGTGTAACTGGAAGGGTTCCTGTTATCTTGGGTCACAATTGCCAGAGATTAACATTTTTGGACCAGACTAAGAGGGGAACAATGTGGTGGAAGAGCATGTTACCCATGATTGAAAACCCAACAGATACTCACAGGATGTATGCGATGACCCCAATGGACCAGCAGTCCACAGCTTTGCTGTAGGGCTTCTGGGCCAGCACTTCAGGAGCTGAAAACACAAAGCCAAGTGAACACATGTTACAACACCAAGCATTGGAAAGTGGTCAAGAGGTAGGACCCTAAAACTTGAAGCTCCCTGAGTTGCCCTCCACATACAGCCCTTGGATTTGTAAATATCCCTAGCTTTTTGAAGTTTTTTTTAAGATATTCACAAGGACAGCTCCTGAAGCGGAGCAAATTCCCCATTTTCTGACTAAGGACAGAAAGCCAACCCAATAAACTACATCTGCAGGAGAGGAAGGAGAGCTGTCACCATACCTCCCAACGGCTGCCTTCCAAAGCCTGATGCATGTCAGACTGAGAGGGAGTAATTTGTCCTCTACCTCTGGGAACACAGACACCTCTCAAAGGAACTGAGCCTTCTGCCGCTATAGATTTCAGCCACCATAGTCTGAATTCTGCTAGAAGTGAGAGCCTGGGCATTTATTGAAACTCTCTGTGGGTCTGCTTTCCTATCTTACACCAGTGAGAGTTAAAAAGATGCATGTTTTTGTTTGGGAGCCTGGAGTATTATGTTTTCCCTGCTGGGACCTTTCAGTGCAAATGCTTAAACCTAAATTTTAAATCCTTGTGAGCCTATAATCTTTTTCATGTAAAGAAGCTTTTGCTTTATCCAAAGCAAAATGTCCACAACAATGCAAGAAATCACTGACTGTGGCATTCCTAATGCAGACGTGCCACACTGGGCTTTAAAAAGCACAGTATTTCCTCTGAGTACATTGGATTTTAAATGGTGCAAAGAAATCATGAAGGGGCAAGTCTCAGCAAAATATTCCTTTGGGGTTACATCTTTCTCTGCTAGGAGTCTTGCCAACATCAAAGCAGTCAGGTACTTGAAGGACTGCAAAACAGAATTGTGAAGCACATAAATGTATCAAAATTTGAGCCTCACATTTAGCTGCTACATATGCTTTGGTGTATTGGTAAGGACTCTTCAAAGAGTTATCTTTTTAAGCTAGACAAGTCAATATAACTAAGGTCAAAACTGCCAGCAAGGGAGGGAACAGGAAAGCAATAATGAGAAACAGAAAAGACTTTCTGGCTCATGGGCATAAGAATTTATAAGACTGAAGGGAAGACAGTGCACATGGAATGGGAATGATGGAAAGGGTGAAGTCACACTGAGCACACATTGTAAAAAGGAAGAAAACACAGGAGAATGTCGGTAAAAATATAACTGGCAGACAGATTATGACGACCTGAAGACTGGGATATGCCCCAATCTGTAACACAGGTTACATATGACCCCAGTTTTCAAATCATCAAGAAAACTGGGACCACTGCAGAAGAAGTTAAAATTATGGTTCTGTTCATATATTAATCCTAAACCACTGTTGTAATGTGTGAATATACTTATCCACTACATGCCAAAGGAGGTTTCTTTCTACTGTACCTTGCATGAAAGTCTCCTCACCTGGCCCTCGGTGGCAGAAACCTGCACCCCAATTCCTAAGAAGCCCCTGATTCCGTCCAGAACATGGGCATGCTGCTGTAATGCGCCAAGATAAAGGTTAAACGATTCTTGCTACAATAGGGGACAGAGTTGTGGAAATACAGAAGGCATCTACAGTTGCACCCAAAGTGCTGGTGCTCAAATGTAACTCCTTTCCTAACGGCTGGGTCAGGGTCTGTGTGTCAGCTTGCTGCTAGTCAGTCTGATGGGGCTGAATTTGAGGACAAACTTGGGATAGAAGAATAAAGCACCAAAGATCCATCCTGTTTGGCCTGCTACTGCCTCCCAGATAACCTGGCAAGCTGGGACAGTCTGCCAAATTTACATTTCTCCTGTATAAAATAGTTGTTGCTCAAAGTTGCTCAAGATGACCTTCCCAGACAGCTTTTGTGTCCCTTAATCTGACTCTTTCCTTCCTGATTCATCAAAATTTGCCTCCAAGTTTTCCTCTAAAAAGAATCCTTTTTTCAAAATGTGCATCAAATGGCGTTTGTGAGACTCTGTTTCCTTTTTGTTCCATTCCTTATGACTGAATTTTGTGACAAAATATGCAGACAAAGGGAGTTAAATTTCCCCCATCCTTAGGTGATCAGATGTTTTCGAACTCTCCACTCTTGCAAAATTCCCAATACTTTATTTACATATCACTTCTCTCTTTGACTGTCCGCTCGTGTTTGCACCATTTTCAAGACTGGTAAACATTATACATCTCCTATCCCCAAAGAAAATATTATGCAAATAGATCCTGAGCACCTCAGATCCTAGTGAGCTCCTGATATTATACAGATAGGGCACATTAACATAACAGAAAACAAATCTGAGACAAGGGGGTGTGAACTATATAAAGATTCTCCTTCTTAAAGCATCAAAGCTGAGCTGGGGCATTTCTCTCAGTTTTAAAGGAATGAAGAGCACTGAAACAGTTGCTGCTGTGGATGGTAGCTGTGAAGCAGGTAAGAACCCCACAGCATCAAGCCTGAAGCAAACATGAGGCTACTACATCCCCTTTGGTAAACTAAAATGGAAAAAAGGCAGGAGGTTTAAATAATTGTTTTAAGGCCAAATGTCTGCTTTTGATTTTTGTTCCAAGCAGCAGACATGCAACAGGAACAGGAGAACATAGCTAAACATCATCTGTCTCTGATATATGAAGACAGAAATATTTAATGAGCTGAAAAACAAGTCAAAGGAGCTCTCAGAAATGATGGCAGATCAGTGCCAAGAGGCAAAAGCAGAAGATGCAGTGAAAAAAATGCATGAGCTGATGACATTAAAGGATCAACACAGATGGCTGAGGAGGCAAAACATCAGTAAGGAGAAGGGGAAAGTCAAAGCTCCCACTTCTGGTGCTGGGGTGATGCCAGCTGAGCAAAGGCTTCCAATATTGCACCTTCCCAGAGAATGGCTGTGGGCTCAAATGCAACCCAATGGTCATCCAGAGACAGAGAAGTCAATGCAGCAAAACTGGACCCTTCCTTCACATTGGGGAACTGTGTTTCAGACCAAATCAGCATTGCTACTAGCAACATGTGGCAGGTAAAGTGTTGGGTAAAAGTCCCAGGGCCTCACCCCACCTGCAGGTACATGAAGATGTGCTTCCCAGGCCAAATGATGTGGTGTTTCACAGTTAGATTTTTTTTTTGTTATTTATATTATTTTTATATTTATTATTATATTATTTTTATATATAACATTTTTATATATTATCATCTTATTTTTATATTTGTTTAGTTATATTTTGCTTTTAACAAAAGAAAAAAATAACAAAAGGCTTGTTTCAAATGGAGGTTTTAAGAAAAGGCACAGAACAGGGACCTTTGGAAAACTTTCAGAGCACTGTGCCAATACCCCTAGTGAGCACAGCTATGCTAATAAGCTCCCTGAAAATGCAGCTGATGGATGCCAAAACCAGCAATCCATGTTCCTGCAAAAAAGCTGAGGTGGTGGGGATTACTCTGATACTTTAAGCCTGATGAACAAACTGTACAAGTCATGAGGGTGCCCATTCTCATACCAGCCTTATAGTTAAAAGTGATTCTCCTTCACTCCCAGGATGATGCTGCTCCCAGCAGATTTTGTTGTCTCATAAGAACTCAGTCTAATGCTATTTTCTGTGGTTTATATGCTTCCCACAAGCTGCATGCCAGAAGGAACCATGAATTTGAACAAAAGGTGAAGGTTTTGATGATCCCCATAGGAGTTACATATCAGCAGGCTGCCATAAACATAGGAGGAATATAAAGACCTAAATAGGGGTAAAATGGGCAGGCACATGGCTCAGTTGGCGACACAAATTGGCCTGGTGCAAGCCACAGCTGATGGTTCAGCTGGTAACTATTTTAGTGCCAGTTTCCATCATGTAGGCACATCCTGTAAGTAAAGAAGGGGAAACATGAGTGGGCTGCACATGTATGAGATGGCCAAGAAATCCAAGAGGGAAGATGAGAAACAGGCTGAGTTTGTAAGGGACAGCAAAGGGAGATAGTGTCAGCCTCGTGGTTTAGGACTCTAAGGTACTGCCTCAAGAAGATGAACAGAGAGGAACAACCATTGAGAAGAAGATTGGATGCATGAAAGGCTAACCCAGCCCCTCTCCTGAAGCCAAAGACGGTGCAAGGGCAGTGTGAGCTCCTCAGCCACAATACAAAGTGTCTTCCTCACAGTCGCAAACAGGTTAAGAAGCATATAAAGCAGCTTCACTGCCAGACCAGAGACCCTCTTTCACTGACTCCTGGGATGAAAACGACTTCTTTCCCTTTTTTCACAAAGTCCTCCAGTGTTCATCCTTTTCTGGTTGGCCAAGACTTTGAAGTTTGGAGCTGTTCCTGAAGGACAGCAGAGTTTCAGTGCAGCCTGAAGTTGCTGGCTTGTGCTTCTGTTGTCCCTGTTTCATGTTGCTGAGTCAGATCCAGATAGGTTTCATGGACCGTAATGCAGCTACAACCACATCAAGCAAACCCTCCTTCAGGATATGGCAATGGAGCTGAGCAATTCCACTGTCACAAGCTTGTGCCTGAGCAAACCCTGGTGACAGCAGTTCCCATGCTTTATTTTTTCTTTATTACTCATGTTACTGCCTAAACAACTCCTGGGGTTGCTTTTTGCTAATAAGGATATTTCAAAGGCTTATTAAATATTTTCAAACCATTGACTCAAAAGTATACTCAGTAAGTCAAAATTCAACATGGGAATCTAAATGCTTTGGTCTTGCACAGGGCTAAGAGAAATGCATGGCTCTGGTATATTCTGAAATTGCTACTGGAGTTCTGTCAGAGCTGACAGTTGTGAAATGACCTCACTCACTGCAGAAAATAAAAGCAGTGAGTGAGGTAGAGTCTGTAGTGATAGGACAAGAGGTAACAGATTAAAACTTAAACAAGGGAAGTTTAGATTGGATACAAGGAAGAAGTTCTTTACCGTAAGGGCGGTGAGGCACTGGAATGGGTTGCCCAGGGAAGCTGTGAATGCTCCATCCCTGGCAGTGTTCAAGGCCAGGCTGGACAGAGCCTTGGGTGACATGGTTTAGTGTGAGGTGTCCCTGCCCATGGCAGGGGGGTTGGAACTGGATGACCTTAAGGTCCTTTCCAACCCTAACTATTCTATGATTCTATGACAAACCACACAGCCTGGGTCCAGCCCAATTTCTACAACAGGGAAATGCAAGAATATTTTACTAGAAGTTGGGTTGGGAGTCAGAGCAAGAATTTTAAATCTCAGTAGGACTAAGATACCAGCCAGCCAAAAACACATAGTTTAGCATTTCTGCAAAGGAGATTAGGCTGCCCAAGACAGGCTTTCTATCGTCTTTTCCTTAGTTTTCAGTGTTCCTAAATGTCTTGCAAGTCTAAGTCCCACCTACAGAAGTAACTGAAGGTTTTAAGAGACCAGCTCTCACAGAAAGTCAGTCAGTGAGACCCAATTCCCAAGCAGCAAAATCTCTTCTGAGGAAGGAATTTGCTGAGTGACTCGATTCGCCTCCTGGTGAGTGCCCAACTTGACACACCTCAAGGATGAACTCACTTTCAGGTAGTTTTGAACACCTTCTTCAGGTTCTTATAAATGGTCTCAAGCTGAGTAGCCCAAATCTATAATGTTTAAACTCATAAATCATTTATGGCTTACACAGATCTTGCCCATAATCACACTCAGGGTTTTGAAAAACACCACTTCTCCAGTGTAAATGATGGGGTGGGATCCAAGCAAGCCACTCCACACACCTAATCTGCAATCAAATGAGCCACAAAAGCTGCCTCATCTTAACGCAATATAGGTGCTATCTAAAAGTTAGGTGTTTAGTCCCAACTTACCACCTAGACTCCTTCCATAAGAAAGAGAGTTAAGAGTGGTAAGCAGGCAAGAAAATGGAAGACCTTTTCAGCATAAGAAGCTGCATTATCAGACCCCTCTTCAGTGAGTAAACATTTAGATTGGCATCTTAACAAAAGTGGCTCAGCTAGTTGTGTTAAATTATCCTAACCATAATGGACCAAAATATCTGACAAAACTCTTGAAGGAATAAGATCCCTGAACTGTTGACAGTAATTTAATCTGTAAGGCAGAGCTTTAAAAGCTAATGTGCTAATGAAGTACAGATTATGCACATTATAGATATACTCTAATTTGATAAGTAATAATTTTGTCTTCAGAAAGTGATATTTATTGAGAAGTTTAATCATAATTACACTCTCCCTTACTCAGTGAATTTCTGAACCACATAAACAGGACTTTAGTGACTTGGGTACCATTATTCTTTGGTGGTGAAACCAAGAAAAGTTGAGTTAAAATCTGAAATAAAGAGTTGAAAGTACATCCTATTTGGGGAAATCGGCTAGAAATGACAGGAGGGTTTACACACTTGGAAATACTTGCCAGCAGACATGAGTTAAGAGCAGGTCTGCTACCAAGCCAGAAGCTTGTCCAGCACTTCACACAGTTGGATCTGACTGGATCCATTTCTGGAGATGAAGTATAAATAGTAGCAGATACTAATGACTTCCTAACAGAGCCCTGGGTGCCTTTGACATGTGATATGTGCCTACTTTTTTCCAAGTCATGGAATCATAGAATAGTTAGGGTTGGAAAGGACCTTACATCATTTAAAAGCAAACTGGTTAAACTGACAAAAATAATTAATTCGTCATGAAATATTAGAAAATGGGTGTTCTACATATCTGTAAAGAAAAGCATCAGGAAATGTGCTGTAAGTGATGAATCCCTGCGTGATACTTCCACCCTATGCAAAATGGCTTGGAAAAAGTCTACACAAAGGTGGCAGACAGGACACTGCATGGGCCAGCACTGTGGCATGTGCCCCAATCCAGATGAGGACACATATTCATGTTGTGTCATTAGGAGGAAGGACTCTTACTTTTACTTGGGGCATTAGGCAGGTGTTGCAAATTGGAGTGATGCTGGAAGGCAGGAAAGCTTTCAGACGTGGACAAACTGCAGGCCACGTATGCAGAAGCCATGTCACCAGGAACCACATCTGTGGGCATCACCACAGTGACCAGCAACAAAATTTTCTGTGTTTGGAAAATGTTGTCTGGGCAATCAATTATATATAATAAAAATAAATAATAAAGGCAGCACTAACAAGGAGCTGTCTCCTGTTCAATAAAGAAACAGAACAAATATTTAAAGAGGTTTTCTTTGTGAGAGAGGGGGAAAACTCCTGTCAGCACTTCAGAAATAAGCATCCATGACCTCTTGAACCATGGTGAATAAAATCCTGTGTTCAGTAAGGTAACAACAGGCCTGGAGCACTTGTGTAGCTATCAGCGACCAGACCATGAGTAATGGGTGCTCTCAAACCTCTCTCAAAGCACTACAATTTGTGTCACATGCTCCGAGAGCTTCCTCTCCAAAATAGCAAGTTTTGTTGAGTAAATGGCTACGCAGAGAGACCATGAGATCACCCAGTGCCCAAGCAGAGTCACGCTCCCTCATTTTCATCAGCAGATATCATCTGAGCTTCCCTGTGTCTGCAGACTTATTCTAGTCAGCGCCCATTTCAGAACAAAATCAAGTGTGTTAATTAAAGACAGAAGAGCTGAGAGCTAAAATTATGAAAACTGCTGCCTCAGCTCAATTCCTTCTAGTGTTTTGGAAGAAGATTTCCAGTCTGGTGTGATTATACATGACAGCTATTCAGGCTCTACAGAGTGCATCCTGACTCACATGGCTTAAAATAAAATGATGAGCTGATGGCTTCATAAAATGGGAAACCAGAGAAAACTGTTCCTTTGCCTGATGCTATAGAGTTTGTCTGTGCAATGTGAAGATAATGCCCAGAAAAAGGTATTCCTCAGACAAATTTGGATCACTGTGTCGTAACTACATAATCTTTTTGAGTTCTCATACCATGGTATCATCAGAGCTGTGAAAACAGGTGAGGTGGCAGCTGAAAAGCAAAAGGAGGCTCTGACTGCTGGAAAACATTAAGTTTTTCCTGCTGGAAAGGTATGAGACAGATCTATCCCCAGGAAAGCCACTGTAATTTTAGTTTCATAGATTTCATGGATACCCCTGAGATTCATTTTACAGCCTCAGCTGACTAGCTCAGTATCGTAGGAGACACAGGCTTTCCAGATGTCTTGTGCACAAAATGAGTCTTTTAAATAGCGTTTGCTCAAACAGACCCTTCTCACATTCATTTACTTCAACTTTTTAAAAGGATGCTGGTAAACACACTACTAATCAGAAGCCTGGTACAACCACTGCTGAGCGAACAAAAGAGCAAAGAATAAATGACAGGAAATAAAACATGTCTGAATAAACTGAAAGAAGGTAGATTTGGATTAGATATTAGGAAGATGTTCTTTACAGTGAGGGTGGTGAGACGCTGGCACAGGTTGCCGAGAGAAGCTGTGGCTGCCCCATCCCTGGCAGTGTTCAAGGCCAGGTTGGACACAGGGGCTTGGAGCAACCTGCTCTAGTGGAAGGTGTCCCTGCCTGTGGCAGGGGGTTGGAACTGGATGAACCAAAACATTTTATGATTCTATGAAATTTAGCTCTTACATTTTAATGCTTTCTATCACAGGAATCTGGATATGCTATCCTTTATGCTTAAAATAATATGTTACACTATGTAAAGCTTTTTGGTCTTCTATGTGCTTGCAGAATCAATACATTTGAGGCTATTCTTCATGTGTCCTGATTTAGTTACAGGGAGTGTCTTTGAGAAGACTCATTCTGCAATGGATAAAAATCATGGAAGTCAACCCTAGAAACGCAGAGCTGGATTGCAGGATTCTCCCCAAGGAGAAAAGACAGAAGACCAGCAACTTTTGGTATCTAATGAACATCTGTAAAACCTCATTTTCGTTATGTAGCGGCATTAGAAAACAAGTATTATTTCTTTTTATTCTGTGTCTGTACTGCAGCTGGGAGGAGTGGACAGACAATATAACCAAACCTCTTACCAACATAGCCAGGAGTCCCACAGGCTGTGGACATCACATCTCCTTTACCCTCCATCTTTGACAATCCGAAGTCACTGATCATGATTTTTGACTCTTCATCCTGGCTATAGTAAAGCAGGTTCTCGGGCTAGAAAGGAGAACAAACAAAATGGGGTTTGAATATTAAAGTTCAGTAATAACATCTGCTGGCTTATGTCCTGCATTTAACAGAATCCTTAGTTACATCATACACTAATAAAAATTGGTTCCCCTAAATCCTAAAAACCTGCTCTTATATGGAGATTCTCTCCAGACTTTTGTATGGCAACTAATGGAAGAAGCTGATTCCTTGGGCTTTGAGTAACTTTCCTGGGATAACAAGCTTCTCCTTTAGCACCTCAAGTAAGAACTAAGGCTTGTGCGTTGCCTGTGAGATGTCTGACAAATTATCATTTCATAATGATAAAATGGATTCATTTGAAGCAGGTAAATCCAGTAAATCCAGGTAGTGTAATGAAACTGGTTTATACAGCATTTAAGTAAAGGAAAACAGTAGCTATTACAGAATTCTTCTATCTTCTCCACTGAAAATAAACTGTTATGAGAGAGGAAATGCCTTTAGAGTTAACAGACTTGCATCAAAGATGTTTGAACTAGAGCCAATTAGGAAAAAATCCTACAGCACTAAGAAGTACAGCAACTTGTTTATGCTGAGAGAAAACAAGAATTAGGCCACAAACCCCTGCGACTTTATAGCAGCGTCAGGCAGGTTGGAGAGCTCAGCCAGCCTCCATTTGCTACACCATAGTCCTCCATCTGTAATACTACTGCTACACTACAAAGCTCTCGCTAGGTGTTGTGAGAGAACACTTCTTCCCCTACTTAATATCCAGGCTCACAAAAAGGTCCAGCATCTGTGGCACTCTGACAGCCTGCTGGTAACGGGGTGCCACTGCACCACCCAGACCTTGCGGTCTTCATCTATAGAAGTAATGGATACCCAGTATTTCAACATAACCCTGGTGTAGAGTTTTGCCCAGAAAATGATAAAAATGCACACTGCCATGCAACACATTTTGTCTATCATCCTGGTGTGTGCTCCAGCTGCAGCCACACAGCATCATCAAACTCCTTGGGACACATCCAAGCCTGGATTTGTAAGGAGGAATAATGGCAGTGCAACAGCACCAGCATCTGTCTTCCCTCCTCCATTGCCACAATCTCCTGCTCTGGGGAAAGGGGAGACGAAGAAGTGTCACGGTTGACACTGCCCCTATTCTACTCTGAGGTTCCCATTCAGCTTCAAGTGGAGGTTCAAGCACTCTCTGGCACCCCAGCCCCCACATGAACCCACGTAGTGATGGTTTTATCCATGTGACACAATGGCCATGAGAGGATCTACGAACTGCACCCACAGCTGTGAGCCAGCTGGGACTGAGGCTAACAGGGAAACAATTCTGTTCATAAAAATTAATATGATGTTGTGCCATTTATGTTTCTTTCTCATGATAGCTCCTGAGTTCAGTGCTTTAACTGGCTGTTACAATGCTGACACTGTTTTCAGGCACTGCATAAATCAGTTTTATGCCATGGTCTGCCTTTGGTTTAAGTTACTCCTGACCTTTACTAGTGCACTTCTGACCTACTGAGGGATCGGCAGAGCTGGTATTAAGTGAAAGACAATTATTTCCTAACAATTTTTTCTAACTCACCTCAGGTTCCCACTTATTCCTATATAGCTAGGCTAAGAAACCTACCCATTGAAAACCTAAACTTGTTTAAAACTGGTTTAAAACCCTCTGGTCTTTCAAGCTCGCTCATTCAAAAAGCATTAATGAAGTGGCTCTGTACCAAGAGTTGTTGCTTGAACCTTTCAGTCGTTTTGTACATTCTGGACTTCCCTGGACCTTATGTGCTTCCATCACTTGTTATCTGATGCTGTGTTACTTAGATTAGAGACTTGGAGCCCAGATCTGCTCTTCCCAGCTACATCAAGTACTATTTTGGTATCTGAATAACACATAATTACAATAAATAATTGTTATGGATGTTTTGTGGGTTGTATTTTTATAGAATGGATTCTTTCCCAGAAATTCGTTTTAGGGATCACAATTTGAAACTTATGCTTATCTTGGTATTTTATCCCTATTTTTGCCATCATGGTATGCTTGTGCTAACAGAAATTCTCTGCAGGTGTTCCTCATATACCATATTTTATGAGCCATTTTAAGAACTGATATGGTACTGACAAAGACTTGCAAACAAAAGAAAGAGAGAGAACAAAAGCAAGTCTTTGCCCCAAAATACCCCTGGAGAAGATTGGTTTGATCTAAATTCAGCATGTCCTTACATAAATTCTGAAAGTAATTTGTGGATGAGTCCACTTCCCAATTACCACACCTCATATTTTATTATAGGAACTTTTTAATAAGATTAATGTTTTAAAGTGGGAGCTACAGCTTCCCTTTAAATTACAAAGACAGGAATGCTATTAAGAGCTTGTACTACAGAACATCTGAAGGCCACAGCATCAACATCCAAGGAAACTCTTGCTTGGAGCATCCCTCCAAAACACAACCAGAAGTATTTTATTCACTGAATTCTGAATTTCTAGCAGTAAGCTTTGGTGGAATTAACTAGCTCAGGAACTGAACCCACAGTTTTCTTCTAACATTTGCATCTTTTTCTAATGTTTTCTGCTAATTAATCATTTAAGACACTAAAGATGGGGAGGCTTAGCTGTGTGTTACGAAATCCAAGCCTTCCTGCTTATCTTAATGGCAGTTTAAGAAGGAAACAATAAAGAAATAATGTTTTGGTTTGGGTTGGGGCTTTTTTATGTAATAACATGGTACAGCTGAAAGGAAAATTATCTAAAAATCACATTGGCACCCAATGATCCTTAGAAGAATCCTTGCTGCTAACAGTGTCTTTAAAAACACTGGTCCAAATAGCACAGTAGGAAATCATTCAACTTTCCCACACTGTTTATTGTTACTAATTATTATTAAGTAAAAGTAAATATAGCCCAGCAGATCTGCAAAATACTTTACAGCAGTAAACACTTACATCCCAGCTGAGTTTCCTGCCTTAATGGAACATTTCAAGTCTTAATGAATGACTTTTTCCCCACACGCATCTGTGCAGAACTCCCATTGTAACAGCATTAATTGCAAAGGCTTCATTAAAACCAATCACATGGGGAGGCTTCAGAGCATCCCTCTTACAGCAAAACCTTCCTGAAACAGCCAGTCCCAGGGGGGCCTGGACTTAATATCTTAGACTCATATAATTCTACAACCTTCATTAATATTTCTCAGAGGACTGAGTCACGCTGTGGTCTTACCTTGAGGTCCCTGTGCACAATGCCCATTCGGTGCAGGTAGTAGACAGCATCCAGGACCTGCCGGATCAGGGTGCTGGCATCCTTCTCAGTGTAGAACCCTTTCTCAACAATGCGGTCAAAAAGCTCTCCCCCAGACACTCTGGAAAACATGATGGGATGCAGAAGTGTGAGGATATGGTTTGCCATATGCTTTTTACCTTTGGAGCACTGAGTACTCCCCACTGTCCCAACAAGGATTTGGGTTTGGTTTTCTCATAGACCAAGGACTGGTCATGCTATAATGGAAAATAAAATCCATTGCACACCAGAGAGTGGGCAAAGACTCACTAGCACTTGCAGAGGGAAATCACAACTCTACTCTAGCAAGAGCCAGTGAAGCACACACTGGTTCCTACACTGTATAGGTGAATTTAGTCTGCCCTGCCCGCTGGTGCTGGCCCATGGAGGTTGTAAGGCTTGCTACTAGTATGATCCTTGGGGTTCACTTTTCACTTCATTGATCAAGGCTTGGGAAGGCTACAGGAGGAAAACCAGGCTGAATGGGGCTTTGAGCAACCTGGTCTAGTTGAAGATGTCCCTGCTCATTGCAGGAGGCTTTGAACTAGATGAGCTTTAAAGTCCCTTCCAACCCAAGCCATTCTATGATTCTCTTTTCCCTCTTTTCACTGGTGAGTGAAATGCATACGGTAGTTGCTGCCAATACCTATAGAGCATTAGCTTATTAAAGGATTCTGCTTCTCTGGCAATTTTGAACGCTTTCAGAGGTGCCCTTCCTTTACTCTTATATCTAAGCTCATCTATCAGCAGCACAGCCTCTGCCTGGCACTGGTAACAGACTGTTACTGAAGAGGGAGCACAGATTATCAGTGCAATTAATCATCAGATGACACAAATGGGGAAAGGATTCCACAACTCAAAAGAGGAAAGAAAATAAAACCTTGACATCCCACTACTTAATGTCGGCTATATTACACTTTTCCTCAGCCCTGCTAGAAATAACACATTCTAAACCCAACCTTAAATAAAGAATGGACACATTAAAACTCCCTGGAGGAGTATCTGGGGAAACAAAAGAGGAAAGAAATGTCTGAGTAATTGAAATAATAAAACTGTCAGCAAAAACCTGTCCTACCAGGGTAAATAAAAGATTTCCATTTTAACAAGCAAAACCTATTAAAAAAAATGAAATGCATGTGACAGGCTTTTTTTCAACAAGTTGCACCACTTAGCATATCATAAATAGCACAGTAAAACTTTCTTTAAAAACAAACCTCATAAAGGGAAAATAATAAATGATTACAGTCATTAAACACACATAAACTGGGACCTTGCAATTATATGAACACTGGGTAACTCAGCCACTCCAAGAAATAATCTGCTTGAATAATGCCATGAAGTCACTTCCTAGGGAAATTTGAAGCCTGAATGGGGGAGAAGGCTACAGCTGAAAATGAACACATTCAACTTCAAAAATTAAAAGCAACCTTGCAAGAAGAAATAATAAACCAGATAATCCTCCCATTATGTGCTAGGCAAACAAACCAAACAGCTTGCTGAAATATTGGCATTAAACTGAAGTTCTGCAGTAAAGGTGAAGTTCACCCAGGGTCTGAAGTCCACCCACGAGACCCCTGGCTGTACCAGCAGCCCTGGGGATTGCTGCTGGCAGAGAGAGGATGGAGCAGAAGCAGTGGGATGATAGTGGAGCAAGAGAAAGCCTCTGGTACCATATTGAACTGGAGAGCCCATGACTTATGGCACAGTGGTGAAGGAGGCATGGCAGAGACTGTAGAAGTGCCATCACACAATAACCTGCTGTGAGATGAACATTGCACAAGAAAACTTGAATTAGAACCCCTTCTTCACTAGCTTCTCACAACAGGAGTTGCATTTCTCACAGATATGCATATGCAGAGGGTATTGCTCCAAGCACATCTCAGCCCTACACCCTTTACCCAACCCATTGCGTGCCTTGCCAACGGCAGAGGCAACAGACACAACTCTGCCTCGCCATTCACTGAAGGCAGATACAGTTTTATTGAATCTGGCTCCTATTAGCTGGCTGTCTTTATAGTTCCCCTGCAGCCCTTTTGTTTCCCATGGATTGATTGCACTGAAAATGGAGCCCACGCAGTCATTAACATGACTGAATGCAACACATTTCCCCGTGAAAATGCAGTGCGTGCTGGTTTGCATTTCATACAGTTACTTTTGTTATAGTCAAGAGACACACTGCTTTAGTAGATACTGATTTACATCACGTGCTTTCCTGCACAAGGACTCCTTCAATGTTTGCAGTGTACGCTTCCACAAATTGCTTTTCATAAAATGACAGAATTTCCCTCCATGCCCGTTCACAACCCCCTTAAGCCTCATTCTTAAATTGAAAGCTTTTCTTAGTCAAATTGAGTCCAGTGCATTTACTGTACCCAGGCTCAATCTGCTTATAATTTTATTTCAAAACACGGAAAATATTTGCAACCACTCAAATGATGCATTGCAAACCAGAGCTTAATCCAAGGACTTGGGAGGAACAGGCGGTCAGTTTGCAGCCACTCGCTTATTCAGATTGAAAACAGAATTCCAGGTACATGCAAAGAGCCGAGGGTCCTGTGCTCGTATTTATTTGTGTTGTGACTTTGTGTTGTGGTACATGGGATTTGCACTGCATGTTTGCGCTCATCTATAGAGTCTTCCTGCTCTGAGCAAGAGAGTCGTGGCTGGGGTTCACCTCCCAGGGATGCTCTGCAACTCAGCACCCAAGGCCATGGCTACTTTCCATATGGAGCTTATGTCCATATGGCTTTTCTACTCCAAAAGAAGGTTAACTCAACCGTAATGTCATTGGGAATACTGCTCCCTGTATGGTGCCCAAGGACTGACGTAAATTAGTGCTGTTCCAGGAGCAAACCAGTGAGGGCAGCTGTGGGAGAGCATTTGAGCTCTAAACTCATGGTGGAGATGTGGCCTGTTTTGTCCAAAGCTGGTTTTAAGCCCAGCCCCCTCTACCCTGCTGAGACAGGACTTGGCATCCTGCTCTGAGCAGTGCAGGGCACTCACAAAGCAATTTGTTCGTTCCAGTCTTTATTATTCTGGAATTTTTTTTTTTTTTTTTTTTAATGGCAGCACAAGTTTTGCTCTCTCTATGGCAAATCTGAGCAGTGCACAGAAGGCAGAGTTGAAACTTCAGTCAGTAAGAGCAGAATTGGGTCTTTGTCTTCAAGAAATTTAAGACAGCATTTTCTGACCATTAAGAGAGGGTAGGAGGAATTTCTCATCAGTGCAAGAGGACTGCTCCTGTCTTGCAGCTGGCACTGGCTCACAGAGCTGGACACACTGCCCCAAACAACAGCACAAGGAACCTTTTTCCCTGCTGATTGTAGTCTTGGTTCCCAGCAAAGGAAAAGCCAAAGGAGGAGTAGCCAAATGCATTTACTTGAAAAGCATTTAGCCCTGGGAACAGCTCAAGTGTCATGCCATGATCCTGAGTTGTACTTGCCCTGCCTAGGGACTCAGAGCTGAGTAAAAATAAGCGAAAAGGCTGCCATTGCATCTTCTGCATGGATGCCTGATGGGATCCCCTGCAAAGTGTGTGTCTCCATCCAGTGGTCATTGCTTGGCCACCAAACAATGGCTATCCCCTGGTTCACCAGGTAGCATGGAGAAAGCCCAGCATTTGGAGAAGGAGCTGAGCTGGCTCAGACAGGATAAAAGGACCCCCAAAGAGCTCACAGTCCTCACTGCAGGTGAAGGAGAAGGCACTCTAACAGTGTCCTAATATTATTCAGTCCTTGTCATTACACAGTTCCTACATTTTTGCAACTCCTAATTTACAGATGTAACTGGGGAGAGATGAGGAAACATTTCATAGAATCACAGAATAGTTAGGGTTGGAAAGGACCTTAAGATCGTCCAGTTCCAACCCCCCTGCCATTGGCAGGGACACCTCACACTAAACCATCTCACCCAAGGCTTTGTCCAGCCTGGTCTTGAACACTGCCAGGGATGAAGCACTCACAACTTCCCTGGGCAACCCATTCCAGTGCCTCACCACCCTCACAGTAAAGAACTTCCTCCTTATATCCAATCTAAACTTCCCCTGTTTAAGTTTTAACCCGTTACCCCTTGTCCTGTCACTACAGTCCCTAATGAAGAGTCCCTCCCCAGCATCCCTATAGCCCCCCTTCAGATACTGGAAGCTGCTATGAGGTCTCCACGCAGCCTTCTCTTCTCCAGGCTGAACAGCCTCAACTTTCTCAGCATTAGTATTACACCTTTACTTTACATTAACCCATTTCCCCATCAAGTTCCTCAGGAAAGAACCAAACTGACAAAGAAAACAACCCCTGTTGCAGGTATGGAGAAAGGACACGATCAGCCTTTTCCTGAAGGAACCAAGTTCATTGCAGTACCATCAGGAAAGCAGAATGTGCAGAGTTTCAGAGGCACACTTTGATGAAAGATGAGCACCAAATAAAAACTCCATTGTAATTTAAGGCTCCTTCATGAAGACAAATCAAGAGCCAGTCTCTCTGGATTTCTGATGTTTTTGCCTGCAGTGAGAAACCTGCACCTGCACATTGCAGGTCACTACCAGGTACCTGCCAGATCACTATCACAGCCGGGCTGCCTGGCAGGGAGCAACCCTATATATGTTACGTTCAGGTAAATAAATATGTGAATGAATAAAAGAACAAATAAATGCTGAAATTAAAAAGATATTAGTCATGTATTGATATTAATGAATTCATGTTATCTTTATTTCTCTTGCTAATGCCACCTGTGTGTACAGAATATATCCTTTTATTTATTCACCTATGCATCCCCCACTGTTATCAAGTGTCGGAACCTTTCTGCTTGTTTTAGGACCTTAAAAAATAGCACCCTCTGAATTATCCTTTTGACTTCTTTGCCATTTGGCAAAACACTGATGCTTTCCTTTTCTCTCTCTCTTGGAGTACAGGCTGGAATTGCTCTCGATGGCTTACTGCTTGACAGTTTAACTGCTTTTTATCAAAAGTCTTCTTGATGAACTCATCAGTGACAGATTCAAGCAAAGAATCCCATTAAAGGTATTCAGCACTCGTAGGCTTTTACCTCCGGAAGTGTGTAAAGAAGCTCACCTGATGCTTTACTGCA